TCTGAATACTTATTTCTAAATGAAGTGTAATTCTATTCCTGTGCTCATTGTTTCACCAGTTTTACTGTTATAAAGGAAACTTAAAGGAGAACTATGGGGATAGTGAAATGTACTCATCCCTATAGTTAGAGTCGACGTTCACGCTCAGTTCACAATCTTCTACCTGCTGAGAGCAGGTACTGTCTGGGATTTCCCTCTCTGTTTCTCCTGGAACTCCAGATTGAAGGGACAGACAAGGGAGGGGGCCGGCACAGCTGGCTCTGGCTCTAGAGAGGCAGAGCCTAATTGAAGCTGTCATTTAGGAAGTGGGGTGGATCCCGACAATACTGTTGGGATCCTTCCGAGCTCCAGCGAGGCTCAATAGCTGAGTTTTGGGTCACAGGAGGACATTGGCAAATGTCCTCCTGTGACCCAAAATAGAACTACAGCCAAAAACGGGTTGGCCATAGTTCTCTTTCTAATTTTTCATTCTCTTTGATTTACAGAATGAGGTCTGTTTATGTGGGCAAATTCATTAAAACAACATCTAACTGAGGCCGACCACTCTATACTGTAGGTATTCTTAATACATGCTTACGTATCAGCATACCCACACATCAACTCTTTCAGCAAATACATAAATAATATATGATCATCCTTAATTTAAAGCTGAACTTCAGCCAATCAGGTCCTGGACCATTACTGCAGTAGCTCAGCTTGTCAACAACATACTCCAACCCACTAACAGAACAATTAAGCAGTATGGTGAAGTTACCACTCTGCTCTCTCCCCCCAGCAGTATGTCTCTTTTATGACAGGTTTCCCTAAATGATTATAAATACAACTACTATCATTTTTTTTATTACATATGATAAGATTTCAGCTTGAGTTAGTTCTGTAGCCATAAAAATTTGAAAAAGAAACCATTTTCAGGAAGGATTAGCAACTTTACAATAACAATGCTTTTGTCCGGATACCGCTTAAAGAAACACAATTATCATTTATACATAATCTTACTTTCCATGGGCTGTAGCATGACTGATGAAAAAGTCTCCAGACTGACAAGTGTTGGATACACCACTGGCATACTTTTTGTTCTCCAGATATTGTTCAGAGTCACCCTGTCATAAACGTTATGAAAATTAGCCCAGGGGACCCAATAAACAGTTTCTGGGTTGTACAGTGTTTAAGCAATAACAAACTCACAGGTCTTTTTCCATATGGTCTGTAGTTAGATGTCCCCGTATTTCCTAAATAATGATTTTGTATAGTATACTCAGTATTATTTCTGAAATAAAAAGTTGAAGATGTATGAATCATATATAATTATTACTGTGATAATTATTATCTTCAAAACCCAGTTATGACAAACTTTTTTTTAAAGTAAGTTTTTAAAGAAAGTGGTTAGGTTTGTAACTACTCTGTATCTTATTCACTTACAGGGTTATTCACAAAAAGGTGAAGAGTTTGGAGAAGGCCGGAGAAGTGAACAATCTAGGACAACATAGCTGAACTGGAAAGTGAGCTGAATTGGAGAATTTTTCCAAATCAGCTATTTTGTGCTAGACTGTTCACTTCTCCTGCCTTCTCCAAACTCTTCACCCTTTTGTGAATAACCCCGTTATTCTTTAAAATGTTCATGAAGTCACTGCCATGTCCAGCAGGAAATGTTTATATGCTGCTTTTTGCTAAGAATAGTTCTGAGTAAGACTGTTTCTGCACCATAAACCTAGTACCCTCAAACTGCTTTTACCACTGCCATGTTAAAATAACTCAGAGATGGCAGAAAACCTGCCCAGAGTACATAAAGGCTGTTCCATACAGAATCAAAGCTGCAATGAAAACTGAAGTATAATTAAAAACGAGATTAAAACATGATTAAACGTATTACCGTAAACTCCCCATTATCCGCCATTCAAGCAACCAGAAAAAAAAAACCGAGGACATATGGACAATTGTTTTTGACAGCTGCTTGATAAACACGTGCACACTAAAAAAAATGTGGTAGAAACTAAATGTATTTAGTTAGTAACAAAATTCTCTCATCTTGCTGTGGCCGATGGCTAGATGCCTCAGCTGGCAAGCTGGCAGGTGAATGTAAACAATAGATAGTGGGCATGTGCAATAGCCAGTCTGGTGAGCGAACAGATACCGGCGTTCGCTCACCTCTCGATCCTGTCACTTGTATCCCAGTTCCTGATAAAGTGTCCACATGTTAAGAAGGTTCCTGCACATTGAATTCATTATTAAAATTCAAACTTCAATCAATATACAACCCCAATTCCACAAAAGTTGGGACGCTGTGTAAAATCTACATAAAAACAGAATGCAATGATTTGCAAATCTCATCAACCTATATTATATTCACAACAGAAAATAGAAAACATAATAAATGTTCCAGTGTTTACAATTGCTTAAAGGAACCACTTTCTGGCTTGTGGACATTATATGGCAATGTGTCAGCCCTAACTTGCTAGGTTATTAGGAAATGTTATTGTTACTAGCAAAAGTTAACACAATGTATATTATTATAATTGATCTGGGCACCCAAAGAATTGACAGTGGGAATGAATATGTGATCCCAGCCAGTCTGCCCACCTCTACATTAGAGCACCCCTCAGTTCATGGGGAACTCTATACACAATACTTTAAGAATAGGTCAGCAGTAAACATACATAACTCTGCTTATCACTTCTTGCATCTATACTGACTATTAACTACATGACCCCATTATTATTGCAGAATAACTATAACTCTTTCTGGAGACCCCATGTATCTACACGTAGAAAATGTAGACAAAAAATGATGAAAAGAATGGACACAGACACGATTTGTTTCAGGGTGTTAAGCTGGGTATACACTGGTAGATTTTTGAATGAACTCTCATATGAAAAATCTGGTCAGAACATTTAATAATGCTATTAGAGACTTGTAGAATGTTGTTCAAAAGGTTCTATTATTTTAGCAATCAATTTTGGATTGAATGGAGTTTCTCGAACAAATAACTGTTATTCGCTGTTAGAATTTTTCTATCTTGCTCCTTTAATTCTTTTTTTCACTCCGGTCTAAACGACTATTACAAAAGTAAACAAATGTTCTGGAAAATATTTTTTTAGAACCAAATTCTACTGGTGTATGGCCAGCTTTAGACAATAGACTGCATAGTAGCTGCTTTTCAAAGATAATAGTTTTAATTTGGTCAAATGACTTTTATTTATAAAAGTTACTCTTCTTCTGAAAAAGAACAAAGCTTTCAATACAAAGAATTACCTCTGTAAATAAATCATAATACACAATTACTTACTTGTTTAGATCCATCGAGTTAAAACCAGTATTTTCCTGTTGAGCAGAGGATGAGGAGTATTTTGTTGTTAAGTCCCCCCGGAATGGGACAGTACTAGAACCTGCTAAAAGAGTCCACGTTTAGTTCAGACTACAGTTAAATATAGATGGCCATTGACAATATTTAATTTACCTTAGAATTAAACACTATGGTCAATTTCATTATAGATTACCTACTCCACACAACGGGTCATTTAATAAGATACTACCAGTTGTTTGAAGGGCTCTGGATTACTTACTTTGATGCATTCCAGCCTGAAGCTAACTGATTATGGTTTTCATTAGCAAAAAGGATCAATGTGCATCATTTTCAAAAGTGCCCATTGTGCCTTAAGCTGGCCATACTCCTATAGATTTTCTGTAGATTTTCTATGGTCAGATGGAAGTCCAACAGATTCCTCCATCTATGCTAAACTGTGTGGATTGAGGAATCTCCTGTTGGGCCAGGCTTCAGTATCTTCAGCCCCTGGCCGTCAAAATACCTGAACAATCTGATTGGATGCAGGCACTGTTCAGGTATTTTGAGAGCCAGACGGGCCTATTAGCAAGACACTGAAGCTTGGCCCAGTGGGAGATTCCTCCATTCACACAGTTTAGCGAAGATGGAGGCATCTGTTGCACTTTTCCATCTGATCATAGAAAACCTGCAGATAATCTATAGGTGTATGGCCAGCTTTAGTCTTCACCTACCAAACAAACAATGGAGTGGTGCAAGTCTCTCACTCTACAAGCTGCTATGCCTATCACATATATTAAGGAAGTGACCTGGCCTCTTAACTGTCTGCAGTGTAAAGTATATCTTTATATTCTTTGTAGACAATCAGTCTTCCAAGGATTGCCAGCCCTGTAGGTCCTACCTTGAGAGCACAGAAGCAGTAAAATTTGACACTGCAGCACCCAGGATGGGTGTCTTAGTTGTTGTCTTAGTTATTTTCCTTGCCAGAGATCAAAGCCTAAGCTAAGTCAACTGTCAACTGGGAGCAGAGATTTTTTTATGGCAAGTGAGAGGTACTATTTTCCAAAATAATGTGATTTGGTAAATAACAATTACAGGCAACAAGTTACATCAATCAGTGAACTACAGTGGCACCTCAGTTCACGAACCTAATTCGTTCCACGATTCTGGTCACAAACCGAATTGGTTGCGAACCGAATCAAACTGCGATCAGACTGTGATCTTGACTAGAGGAAGCCACAACCACGTGCCAGAGAGGGGAAGATGGCTGCGGTCGTGTTCGTCACCCAATGTGGAGTTCGCAAACGGAAGCAAAATGTTGCCAAAGTTTCTGTTTGCGAACCGCATTGTCCGCGAACAGAAGCGTTTGTGAATCGAGGTATTACTGAACTTGTGCTATCCAGCAAACAGCAGCACAAAAAATATTTGTGTTCTATGTAATCAATGTAATGGATCCCGCAGACTCACCCGCCCGGGTTCACGGATACGAAGGGTGCCTACGCCCACGGTCAGATGACGTCACGCTGGGTCGGCCCCTTCCTCGGCATAAGCCGCTGCCCCTCATTCATCTGGCATTCCAGCAACCGATGCGGACGCCAGACGAGAGCTGGGCACCTCCACTCTCCATCCTGAATAAACCCTGTCTCAACAGGGTTATAGGCGCCAGCCTCCACTCGCCATCCTGACTATACCCTGTCTCAACAGGGTGACAGGCACCATACTCTCAGCCAGTCCCATCACGGATCAGCCACTGAGACCCCCACTCTTGCTGCGCATACAAGCACACGAATTCCAGGATCTGCAAACACCAATCACTGTCTCTTCAACCTGGCATATATGTGACAGCAACTAACAGCAAGTATTAACCCTCCTGGGGCTGAAATCCCAAAGGGGTCTTACTGAATTACTGTTCTTAGACTGGACTGCTAATGTGAATACTGCATGCAAGTTATACACTCTTCCATATACTGTGCTTATGTGAAACTAACATACCAGCACCATACTAGCTCAACTAGTTAACTATAATACACCACTTATGTTGTACTGTGAAGTGAACATACAACCCTGCTGTGATTGCTAACAGACTTTACCGAACCTTGTTTTACAATTACATGCAAGACTCTTTGCTTCATCCCCTAGTCAAAGGGTAGTATCCAAATCAGGAATAGTTATATTGGAAGATTGCACTATGATGCATTGAGGTTGTTTGGCAAATTAACCATTGCCACCACACACTCTTGGCTTGTGCACGTGACTGCTAACGTGTATCCGCAGCTGAGTTCCATCTTCCTCCTTAAAGGGATATTACAATCAACTGCTGCCAAATTTCACAGAGCTCCTCACATGTGGTATGCATGGTTCGACTTACTGAAACTGCTATGCCAGTTCCCCTGCTAGGTATAATTCAGCTTTTCAAGGCAAATTGAATCTAACTGCTGGCTATGATGAAGCAGCTTCACTGAACTTAGTACTGAAATTCTGATACCTCAGTTGAGTCTACAGGGGATTAACAGCATCAGGGAAAATGTTCCTGCATTGTAATCAGGTACACATAAGGGGTTTTAGATCATCAGATTACCTACAAATGAGCATCGGGTGCCTTACCACACTACAGATATGCATTAAAATAAACCTGAATTCCTTAAAATAAACCTGAATTCCTTAACAAGTAGACTATCTGTATATATCCCAAAGCTTTACTTTACATTTTGACTACAGTGTACCTTTAAATCTTGATGTACTATAGGAAAGCATTGGGGAGTATAAAGAAATGCAGGCTGACAGGAATTACTGGGGGAACATATTCAGGTCCAGATATAGACAACTATGACAAATAACTCTCTTTTTAAATAAAATAAATGAAACGCTGCTTTTACAGCGACTACTAATTTATTTCTTTCATGCAATAATCCACACAAAATTAATATTGTTGGAAACATAGGTTGTTTTGCTCAATGTGATGTGGCTGTGGGTATCAAACTTCCTATAGCTGCTTAGAACTAATTAATCCATTAGCAAAAAGGAGCTCGGTATATGCTAGGCAACTTAACCAGAAATCAAATGTATATACAGAAATACACATCAAACATATAATTGGAAAAGTTTTCTCTCCAGTGCTGAAAACACGGCACTGTCATTTCATGGCATCTAATTAGGCATCAGTGACATAATTATGTACTGCATTTTGCCAGCTCCTTCAAAGGGAATCTTATGAAGAAACACATTGTTAATGATAACAAGGCCTTTCCTGTATGATATTTTGAAATATGTGACAGCCATTATATGCAAGCAGTATGATTTTATTTCATTGACTGTAATCATTCTCGCTTATATTTCAAAGAAAAGCTTTCACTGCCTCATGAGCAATTTGTGATGGCCCTTTAATGCTTTAATGTGTCACTTAAAACATTCTGTGCTAAACCATGTGCATTGTCACTGCTTGTAATTTTAGTATTTGCTGTATTTTGTGCCAGGTGGAGTTCCGAAAGTCTTCAAAATGTTTCAAATATTTTAGTGCTGGAAATTTGTAATCAGTAAAACTATGCTGTTCAGGTGTCATAAAGGACTCACCATAACTATCTGGCCAGCTGTGTGTGTGAGCAAGAAAATGATTTAGGAAAATCAAACCTGTGTCTACAGTGGTTAACACCACTGTCTGTTGCTGTTTAACATAACTCATATTTAAAATAAACCTCTACCTTTTCCCCCAGAAGATACAAAAAGATGTATCACATGGTACCATACTTTACAATGACCACTGGTAATCTCAATGTATTAATCATATTTTATAATTATTCAGTTCTTTATCTGTAATTTGGTTCAATTGTGGTATTTTAACCTCCCTGGCGGTATGATTAGTCCGGCTGTGACGCCTGAAAACAAAACTAAAAGTCAGATGCCGACTTTTAGTTTCATTTTCGGGCCGCTTACGCCGCGGGCTCGCAGGGACAAGGTGAGTGTCACTTTTCTCTGCAACCACGAGTCTGTCTCGGGGTTACCGCTCCTAGCATTGCAAATTAACCCCGAGCCAGACTCGGGATTACCGCCAGGGAGGTTAATATATATATATATGTGTATTCGGCAGGTTTTCCACCGTGCTTGGAAGACGAAAGTTGTACGACCTTACAGTAGAAGTGGTCGCACGCTGCCCGTACACCTGCCGATTATGGTACGATTGCGGGATCACCTGCGATTATCGTACGATAATCGCCAGGTGTATGGACACCTTTAGTGTATGTGTATATTAGGCCCTATTCACACCTACAGTATATTTCAGGTGTGATTAGAGAATCATTGTGGATGTCGGCTGCCTCAAATCCTTGTCTCTTCATGTAATCCCAGACAGACTCAATGATGTTGAGATCAGAGCTCTGTGGGGGCTAAACTATCACTTCCAGGACTCCTTGTTATTCATTATGCTTTAGATAGTTCTTAATGACATTGGCTGTAGGTTTGGGGTCGTTGTCCTGCTGCAGAATACATTTGGGGCCAATCACACGCCTCCCTGATGGGATGGCATGATGGATAATTATCTGCTTGTATTTCATAGCATTGAATACACCATTGATCCTGACCAATTCTCCAACTCCTTTGGCAGAATTGCAGCCCCAGATTTGCAAGGAACCTCCACCATGCTTCACTGTAGCTGCAGACACTCATTATTGTACCGCTCTCCAGCCCTTCGAGGAACAAACTTCCTCCTGCTAAGGGTAGGGACCAGTCCAGGGAGTTAGAGACATTGTTGGAGGACAATCATTGTGCATTTACAAACTCAACCTTTGTATGCATGTAATGTATAAAGATACTACGTGAAGTGTTGCTCTGAAGAAGACATTTGGCTAACTTGAGGAGAACAACAAACACTATAATACCAGAAGAAAAATTATTTTGCCTAACTGCATATAACGTTAAAAAATGATTTTACACTTATTGTTGTGCGTAGGTATGTCCCTTTTACCATGTCACCTAACAATACAAAACACTTTTAGGTTAATAATAAGAACTCACATCATTTGTGTATCCCTACACTGCTGGTGAATAAAAATATGCATTTTTAAAAATATGTTGTTTTACCTAAAACTGGTGTCTCCACTGATGTCACAAAACTGCTGTCACCAAGCAAACTGTCATCATCAAAATTGTCCCAAACATCACTTCCCAAATCAAATGTCACACTGGCAGGTTCCGCAGACCACGAGCTGTAGTTGTCTATGTCAGCGAGCTTCTTCTGACAGTCAGTAATATTTTCACTCTGCGGACTTCCATAAGCTTTGTTCCCAGAATATATGCAGCCTGCACGGTGAACCAAGACATGTATACAATTTAGTGGACACTGTACAACATACTTTTTAAAGGTAAGGATATGTGAAATAACTGCATTTCAAAGAATCTCCAGATTGTTTGTAACCCTCTGTTTAAAAATAAAGGGCTGACCCATAACTCACAGGTTTTTAGAAAACTGGGACCTGCAGCCAGATCCCAGTTTGCAGAATGTGAAATTTCAGCCAGTTTGATTTTCTTATACTGTCCCCTATAAGCTGCAGCATTTTAATTTGCTTGTAATGCCTGTATTTCAGACACCTTTTGAACCGAGTTTTACAGAGGTTTTGTGTGCATTTATGTACATTTAGTAATATTATTATTATACAGGATTTATATAGCGCCAATAGTTTGCACAGCGCTTTAAAATATAAGGAAGACATTACAGTCACAATACAATTCAAGACAAGATGGTAATATGTTTTAGTACAACAGAAACCTTATAAAAGAAGGTATCTACGTTTCCCACTTTAATCACAAAAAAATAAAAGATTATTTCCCGTTTTAGTATGGTGGGTGGAGCCATGCAAATCATTCCTTTATAGCACAGATACAGCATAATATTATACAGCAATTTATTCTAAACTGCATGCCGTTGTTTCAGGCTTGTTGGCCCTTATTAGTGCAGTTCAGGGAAACACTAGCTTCTATGCAGTAGGGCGTGGAAAGAAACAAGAAAGTATAAACAGACAGGTTATGCTGAGGTGGGCCAAAAGGTACATAAACCCTTGAAACAGCTTTCTGAAGTTCAGTAGAGCCTTCTTAAAGCAGAAGGTATTTTCATGTCTCACTTCTAGGATTACCAAATTTAAATTGTATTTTAGGTGTAAAGGTTTATTTTCTGAGACACCAATCAGTGGCTGGCATTGTGTTCTATCATGATCTAACTGTGGTGGGTGTGCTAGCTCCAAAATGTCTCCCTATATAGCTGATTATTTAGGTACTGTAAAAGGCGCAGAGGGAAATAGATCTTCTAAGAGAGGGGCCAGTCCTAGGCATTATGTGAAGAACTGTAGATATTTTGACAAGTTTCATGACCATACCAGGTAGGTTGTGCTAAATGAACTACTTTTTTGGATCAATCAGCCTGGCAGGTTAGGTTGTCTGGAAATGGTGATCACAAGACTGGTTAAACAATCATTTCACAGGTAAAGTTGAGGTTTTACTTCAATGAGTATATTTTCACTGATGTAATAAAGTGCACAAGAACCCATCACTGTGAAGGAAGAACACAACAATGTAACAAAAATCTAATTGTGTGGGCAGATCCTCATGTACAAGAAGAAAACATTCACTGTTTTTTCTTGTCATGCCTTGTGTGCTGAAAGACCACCCCTGTGTATAGCGACCACCATTGACCTAAAGGACTGCCCGAGTCTGGAGAACGTCCACCACTGTGTATAAATACAAACACAATGAAATAAAACACCAATGAAAAAAACTTTTTATGATTTTGCATATAAAGTATTTACATTTCCCTATTCTCCAATTTAAAAAAAGTAGATTATAATGCCATTTCCTTTTTTGATTGACGAAGATATCAGAGCGCCTTGTGGATCATCAATAACATTTGCAATAGACCAAGAGATTGGTACATTTAGAAAGCTTGAAAAGTATCATTTTGGGAACAAAGTAAAACTGTGTTTACCTGCAAGAATTTATCTTACATATGATTATGCCTTCAGAAGTAGTTTTTCACGTTAGTGTGAATTGTTGTTTCATCTAATCTGACAAAATTAATTTAAATGTTAATCTGCAACGCTATGGTATGAGACAGATATATGAAGCCAGACCGAACATCCTATTGGATGTCTTGCACAATATGAAATAAGGTTAGCTCTGCTTATTGTATCTCATGATAAAATCAAGTGTACATAATAGAATAAATTCACCAAGTGGCAATTTATTATAGTGTACGGCAACATCATTATCTCATCTCATAACTTAGTGCAATCTCCAGTCATAAGAACTCCTTACTCAAGTTATTTCTGCAGCGCCTATCCGACCTACTTGCTCCATCTGGTGGCTGATCTGTATAACTTCTCTGATTATCATCAAAAGGCTCTTGTGTTGCTGTTTGAGCTGCTGCAGCTGTCAATGTTGGTGGCCTTCAAAGGGGAAAAATAATGAGCACACATAAATATAAATATACTGTGTGTGTGTGTGTGTGTGTATATATAGATATATATATATTATATATATAGTTATAGATATATATATATCTATCTATATATATATATATATACACGTGTAACGTGTATGTAACATAATACATACATAACATGTACAATAAATGTTTCTTACAAAAAGTCTCTCTACAATCTGGGCATTTTTTCTTAACTTACAGTTATATTTAACAAGGAAAGCATATCTGCTCTCCAGATGTGTTTTCATGTGACACGAGGACTAACTACTCTCAATGGGAAGGTATAACACTATAACTCTATGAAAATTAAGTAATCACCCACACTGCCGCTAAATTGTTGAAAGTCTCTTCTTTAGAGATTACAGCAATACCTATGTTTTAAAGAACAAACATTGGACATATGTTTGTACATTTTGGCCATGTTAGCTGCCATTAGTACTACGGATGCACTGAGATTTCGGCAGTCGAAACATATTGGCCGAAAATGTCACTTTTGGCAAAATTCCGAAAGTGCCATCTTTCGGACGAAATTGCGGTGCATGCCTGGTTTCCCTCCTCGCCGCAGGGCGCTGCTCTGTGTCCCGTCTGACACAGCGCAGCGTCCAAGAGAGAAACTGTCACAGGAGGCCGAGCGGTGCAGGGGAGGAGAGTGATGTGAGCAGCCGGCATGTCACAAGAGGCTGAGTGGGCCGGTGTGGGAGGAGAGCCCTGTGACAGATCAGGAGAGCGGTGTGGGGGTGGAGACAGCTGTCACAGGAGGCCGGGCTGGCGGTATGGAGGAAGAGTCAGCTGTCACAGGAGACCGCTCTCGCTCAGCCTCCTGTGACAAAGAGTCAGGATAGTAGTGTTTGTAAATAATTAAGGACATAGTATGTTTACTGTGTCCCCAATTATAAATGAATGGGAAGTGATCTACATTCATGATTGTGGACACAGTAAACATACTGAGGGGAATTTATCATAACTGAAGCAGACAAAATCTGGGTCAGCTCTGCATGTCAACCAATTAGCTTCTCTCTTCTTAACATCTTAACTGAACAAACTGAAGAGAGAATTGGTTGCCCCGGACAACTGCTTCAGATTTTGTCTGCTCCTGTTTTGTTAAATTCCCCTCACTATCCCCACAAGTTATGAATGAACAGGAACACAGTATAGAGGATTCCTGTTCATTTATAACAGGGGCTGCAGAATAAGGGATTGAGGACTCTGTGTCCTCAATCTCTTTTTCTATTTTAAAAGGGAAATATCAGGGGTCTGCTTAGACCCCAGATATTTCCCTGAAGCCCCCAACAGTAAAGTGAAAAAATAAAAAATATTTAATAAAAAATAAATAAAAATTAAATGTAAAAAAAGTTAAAGTATATAAAACATAAATATATATATATATATATTTTAAAAAGGTTTGAAAAAAAATTTGTTTTTGGCCTGACATGTTTTTAATTTTCGGTTTTGAAAATTTAATTTCGGTGCACCTCTAATTAGTACATTCGCTAACTTTGAATTAGTCTCTAATTTCAATATTCACCATGCCTGTTAATTACAAAATGTTTCCTTTGAAGAATTAAGCCCAGAATCATTCATATAAATTCTTTCTATAGTGGCGTAAAAAACCTGAATGAATACTGTAAAATTAACATACTTTCCTACAAATAGAGAAATTACTTTAGTCTCTGTATACTAATTTTGCACAAAGGTTGCACTATAACCAAGTTAGTAGCGTCTCAGATTGGCCACTTTAAGCCATAAAGTTCACTAACAGGACTATTCACAAAATAGCTGATTTGGAAAAATTCTCCATTTAGTTTTATATCCAAATATTATATAAAATTTACAAACCCAAATGAAGCACTCGTCCTTTCTAAATACCAATGTCACTTTTTATTTAAATATAAGGTAAATAACAATATAGAGAGAAAAAAAGGTTGCTACACACAGAAAAGGGAACTGTGGTGCAAAGGTGTGCTACAAAATAAGAAAGCCCAACAAATACGGTGATATACCAATTAAAGGTTTACCAGGAAACTTACATTGCCTGACAAAACCTACTGAAAAATTGTTAAAGTAGATAAAACACTAATCTCTAATCAAATAAAATGGTGACACTGTTAACAAAAATATTATTTTGGATAAGGCTCATAATGTAATGACTATCTTACCGCCAAAAGGCATTGATGGCAGGTTTAGGTGTGTAGACAAACTTTTGTAGACTTGTAGTCCTCTCACCTTGCATCTGCAGCCAGCAAATAAAGAGTTTGTTAACACAATGCATCAAATTATTTAAAACAGAACAAAATACTATAATAAACTTTACTTGAGAATGGAAAAGGACAAAAAGTTTACAGGATTCATGTTTACATGACCTAATCTTTGGTCAGCTAGTTATCTGCTAAAAAAAAGTTTCTAAGATTTGAGAAACAAAGGATACGTGCTGTAAAAAAAATTCAGAACTTTTAAGATTTATTTAAATTCTGTAGGGCTGATTTTGAAAAACCCCAAAAAAATAAAAAGTTTAAGCGAAAATTATGAAGTGGCTCATAGAGGCCAATATTTTTTCATCTTCATAATACAACAAAGGAATCTGTTAGGAGCAACTTCTATCCTTTTGCTCCAGTTTTAAGTTCATAAGTGCAGGCGATCAGATATAAGGTAGTTACAATAATAATTCTAATAATAATGAGATATAACTTAGGTTTGATGATATATGTCACAGTTGTATTTATACTTTATTGACACAAATTAGAGATCATTAGGGCTACTGAAAAGTATAAAATGTTCCAGCATCAGATTCTATCTGCGAAGTAAAATAAAGAGAAGGGAATTTATCAAATTTGGAGCAGACAAAATCTGGAGCAACTGTGCATGGTACTCCAATTAGCTTCTCTCTTTCATTTTCAAATCTTAACTGAAAAAAACTGAAGAGAGAAGCTGATTGGTTGCCATTTAAAGCTGCTCCAGTTTTTGTCTACTCCAGTTTTCATAAACCCCCTCCCCTCCCCCCCATAGTCTTTAGCTGTCACTTCTAGAAAACCTTTTTCCTTTTTTCTGTGCAATGATTTCTGCTTATAATGTTTTGGCCCATGCAGGACTAATGCTTAGCGTTACAACCACTCCCCAGCAGTATGAACTCACCTCTACTTCACTCCCATGCTGCTCCATTTGGCTGTTTGGAGCAAAGAAAATGCCTGCCACTTCCAGGTGTGCATGTGACTCAGCCCCTCTCTCCCATGGTGCCTTCTGACTGGCTCAGTCTTGACACATGAGGCCAAAGAAGGAGTCCATACCCTGTGTGAGCTCTTACAAGACAGTTTGGAGCAAATATAGGGGCTACATGAAGCAGCGGGGGAGCAAGAAAAGTTGAGTAGTATATGCTGCTGGGGTGGAGCTACATGTAGTAATTATTTTATGGCTATATAGATTTGGTACAGTATCAAGCAAAATACTAATTTTTCACATCCAAAAAAATAACAATAAGTTAAACTTAATCCAATCCTTGAGGGTCTCTTCACACTTGCTCATGTTGACACCTTTTTGATGCATCCATTCCCATTGTGTTGAGTGTGCCCATTTGTTTAAAAGGTCTTGAATCCATTTTAATCAAAAGTTGTTTATATTTTAATTTTTTTAATAGACTCACTGGGCTGATATACTAAAGAAGTAGAGGCTTTTCACTTTGCAACATGTATGGGCACTTAGCTTAGTAAATATGGTGGGACTGGATAACTTTGAATATCTGAGTAAAAATAAGAGCTGTTCCCACTTATCAAACATCAGCGGGTCCTATGACAGAAATGTATATTTCAAATAGTTTTTTAATTAAATATTCAAACACTTATAAATCCCAAATAATAGGACAATACCCATGTGCAATAACCCAAACTCTAAAACCCATGCCTGCATCGTCTAAAATCTCCCCGGTGGGTAAAACAAATACTTATCAAACACAGTGACCAATAAAAGTCCTTCTCACAGCCCCTTAATTATGACACCTAGTGATATTGCAGACGTGGCCCCCCATTTGCTCAGACCATACTGCATAAATAAACTTGCTGTATTGGTGATAGTCATAAGGTGTATGTCCATTCCGGATCCAATATATTCAAAACAATAGAAAGCAGTGACTGAAATTCCTCACTTATCACTTGCCCTTTGAGCACCACCAAGAAATACGCCAATGAGGTATGTATCCAGAATTTGGGCACCAAAGATTTCGATTCTACTTTCTATGTATGCAATACTTGTTAATATCACTGAGGAGTGCTTTCCTCAGGACCCCCAATTACACTATATGAGGCATTAAACTGATGTATCACTGTAACTTCTGAAGTCGTGCGTCCCGTGGTATTAACTGTATAAAATACCCTACTGCACAGAGCTGTGACACCATCAAGAAGTCAATCCAGACAGGACATGATACAAGCATAGCACAGTCGGTAATAATCGATAAGTGGGAACTGCTCTTATTTTTACTCATATATTGTGCTACAAAACACAGTGGGCTTATGAATGGGATTGTTTGAAATAACTGGGTATGTAAGGTTGTTCAGATCTTCTCCATCAGTTCCCCCATGTGTGATGATAACTCTGACTATCCCATCATGTGCAAGGAAAACTTGAACAAAAAGAAAAAAACAGGATTTTTATTCACACATGACTGGATGAAGTGAACACAGATTCACCTTAAATACTAATCTAAGCGAATGTTCACTTCTGAATATGTATAAAAAGATCAGTCTCTATTCCTTTAGTACTCCACTAAGTCCTTGACCCTGTTTATTGCTTTTATATTTTTATGTGTATAAAAACATTACTAAAGAATAATCTGTAAATCTATTCTATAAAAACAACGGTTTTTGGAAAGAATATATCCTTTCAGAACTATGTCGACCCATATTAAATAAGGTAAAAGCACTATTATAAAGAGGTTTGTCATATTTTATTAAAATTATGTTAATGTAGCTCTAGCTTTTGTTCCAGTTTGCTACTGTCCTTTTATCATTCTCTGAAATTGAGTTCCAGACATGAATTAAAGGAAACAATTACTGCTCTAGCGAAAGACAATGAACACAGAGAGACGTGTCTGCCTCATAAACATCAGATACCTGACTTGTGCTGCTGTGGATGCCACAGTGGGGGTCTGCAATTCGGCATAGCGAGCATGCTGCTCTCTCTCTCTGCATGACGTTAGTTTAACTATCCAGCTAATGTAAGATTCATTAAGTAATCCATGTGCTGATGTCGCAAAAGCCATTTTATGTAATGACATGTTCTTTGAATTTCTGCGTCCTGCCTTTTTGATCATGTTACCTTTAGTCTCTTCACTGGTGGAGCCGATGAAACTGAATTTCGACTCCTTAGATCACTCAGATATGAAGAGAAGTTTGAATTAGTTTTACTGTCAGCTTTGTGAGAGACTCCAATTTTACCTGTTATTTGTAAATAAACAGATTATATTTTAATGCGTAAATGTCAGCCTGTCACAGTTTTAGATCACAGGTTCTAAAGATGATAAAATAAACATATTACATCATCAGTTCTGTACAAAGCTCAGTTTTACATCAGCCTAGCAAACTACATTTAAAGTACACCTGTGCTGAAGATATATAAAAAAAATAATGTAAAACAAAAGTGTAATATAAATGCCACCACAATAAGAACCCAGTACATACCAAATCCACTTCAAAGTGGATACTGAATTTGATATGCAAGTTACAACCTTAAAATCGTTTGAAAGGAGGCATGCCCTTGACATCCAAGTGGCTATGACCAACCTCTGGACAGGATGAGCAGATATAAAACATTGCACCGTGGAATGCAGGCTGGGGGTGTGCCTGGTCTTCAGTCCCAGTAAGGGTCAGTTTGGATTGGTTGGTTTTCAAAACAATTTTGGAACTTAATGCTGGCTGTATTTATTTAGAACATATTATTTTTTAGACTGCTGTAGTTTAAAGTGACGCTAAACTGAGTAGTTAAATCTTAAAAAATGCATACAAGTACCTTAACCATTAACAACAATGTATCTGATTTGTGTATCACTCGGCTGCAGATCCTCAAATCATCTCTGAATTCATGCTGACACTGTCCTTCGTTCTGGAGGGTGGCTACTTTTGTTCCCCATGGTCCCTATGTGTGTTGTAAAGTAGTCACCGCTCCAAGCTCACACCTGCAGAGTGCCCATCTGATGGAGTGCACTAAGTTGAATGGTTTAGTGCACATGTGGGAGGGTGGTTGTGATGCAGCAATGTACCTCTACTGTTTCTCTCAAGTAAATATTCCAAAGACATGGCACCAGATATACTTAATATCCAGCACTTGTCGAGATGCTGTCATGCTGATAATCTATAAAATATATACATAAAAAAACTGACAGACATATTGGAAGGTTGAAATGATACATTCCTGACCTGACAGTCCTGGCATTATGTTTTCTTAGACATTTCTCTATTTGAATTTAGTATTTGTTTATAGGTCAAAATATTTTCCAATATAAACAAAGGCAAAGTGCCCCAGGAGGGCAAACATAGCAATTGCCAGCACCTTACAACTGTGCATTCCTTGTGTCAGAGAGGTACAGAGTCAATGCAGATACCAGCTGCACAACATAGTGTTATGACCAGTAGTAAGAGGGATGGTTCTCGTAGTGACTGCAGCAGATGGTGCCATGTAAAACCTTAGGTAATTGAAGATAAGCCACTAGCACTCAACAATTCAAATTGCAAACTGTTTGTTTTATTGCAAATATGTCAATAAGCCATCATTTCGGTGTCATAGCACTGTTTTGCCTTGAGAAAGGGACATTGCTTGGCCTTGAAACATTGGCTTATTGACCTATGCAATACACAAACCATATTTGCACTTTGAATTGCTGAGTGTTGGTGACTTATCTTCAAATGGAGAGGTACAGAGGACACTTCTCAGTACCTGAAAGCCCTTTTTTGCAAGCTCAGATTTTGAGTCATTCAAACTGCCAACCAAAGTGATTTAACCAGCTGAAATTGATCCCTGATCTATAAGGTGCATTTGTGCTGTACTAAAATAATTTACCTAAATTGTTTCATTACAGAAAGTAGGTAGATGCTGAGTGCTATAAAGTAATACAATGGTACACAGCCAGTCCAGGTTCTAAAGGTAAGCCAAATAAATCTGAAAACTGTGCATTTTAATAAGCATACAGGACACAGCCTACCTGCCTCAGCATTCATTGTCTACAATATTGCCAGGTATTTTTGTCCCTGAACAGCTTGACAAAAATACAAGCCATGTGTTCTGTGTTTAAGAGCTCAGCCTAGCTTCAGCCATGCCAGAAAGTCCCGTCCAGGAGCACAGTGAAAAACTTGCTGGTTATTGGTGGAATGTGTTATATTAAGATATATCTGGTTAAAAAAAAATCTGCATGGGTTTTCTGATGGACACAGCTGCAGTATATTCTGATTAGTATTTGTGGATGGGGTATTGATTTTAATTGGTACCTGAAGTTGTCGTGTAACCTCGTACACAGAAAACTACAGGGTAAAGTTCCATGCCGTGTTACTTTCCACGGAATGGAAAGTAACACATTGTGTCATCTGTTCTGTTCATAAGACCTTTATACAGTCCCTTAACAAAAACAGATAATAACCCAAAATGAAAAGTAATGTGGTCTGATTTTATTTGAAGCAATATAATTTATTATGAACCTGAGATTATGTTGCAGAATAGGCACATCTGTGTGGAAGACAACACCATTACTTACAGGCAGAATACAATATGCCTCTGTAATAAAAAATAAAATAATTTACATTCTTCTTTTTTACAGTCAAACCATCCTACAAAGGATGACATTTGTACTTCATCACTCAAAAATACACCACTGGTTTCGGAAATCAGTGTCTGACAATGTATTTAGCAATGTACTGACAAACTAAATGTTAGCATGTTATTTGATATGTCCTTTCTTACTTCTTTTTTAAACTTACAGCATTCGTGTCCACAAACGTCTTTATTTTTGCAGTGATGGTTACATTCTCTCATACCAGTTTTTAGCACTGTCTGCAAGCTGGGGTATCCTACATTTCACAGATAACAAGTGTCAAACTTGAAGTTTTTTCAGATTAATAAATATATAAAAGAAAAACTTGTATTTATAAAGAAACACGGAAAATACTGCTAATATCTACTACAACTTCACTTTGTCATCGACTACAAAATGTTCACCATAGCTGTATTTGCAATACTGCCATTATAATATAGATTTATTGCCCAATTATTATGTTTGTAGTACATGAAAACAGCCTATAAAAATAATAACAGGCTACCATGATTCTGTTATTGTGATTATAGTTTATTACAATCATACTTCTTGTGTTTCCAAAAGAAAACAAAACTGATGTCATATATAAAATAATAATAAAAAATAATAAGTCAGGATCCCTAGATATACTAAATGTATCTGTGTAATAAACTCTCAGAAATGTATCTTCAAATATATATAATAATAAAGGCAATGCAAGGGTTAATAAACACGAGCATATCTCCGATCAGAGATCCACACTAAAAATTAGGGATGCACTGATACCGATACTAGTATCTGTGCCGAGTATTTGGGCGAGTACTCACCCCAAATGCTCCGATGCCTAGCCCGATAACTGAGCTTCCGGTATCAGGAAGCCGGGCAGCGAGTCATTTGTAGCTACAGCTCACTTGGTGACGAGGAAGCATGGAGTCGGCTTCCCGGCCAATCTGGAAGCCGGGCAACAGGTCATTATACGGCTTCCTGATTGGCCAGAAAGCCAGCTCAATGCTTCTTCATCACCTGGTGACGAGGGAGTACTCCGCCTGGCTTCCCAGCTAATCAGGAAGCCAGGTGGTGAGTACTCCGCCTGGCTTCCTTAATGGAACTTCTGGTATTGATATTTGATATCGGCGAGTACCGAGAAAAAAATATCGGTACTCGATACCGAAAAAAACGGTATCGGTGCATACTAAAAAGTATTTTAAAATAACATTCCAAACGCTTATAATGTGCACAAAATCACTTAAAATATGTCAGGAGGTGTGGTTGCCTTTAACTATTTCAGTGTTTTATTTATAGCCAATATAGAGGAGGCTAGGTGCCCATACACCTTAAGTTACCAATCACAGACCCATTATTAAAATTATTTTTGTCGCCTTTGATTTTGCACAGAGCAGCTTACTTTTTACATTTAGTAATACAAATGCTGACAGGCAGATCACAGTAATTAGACTGAACATTTCCAAAGTACAAAATTACAGCCAAAACAAGCGGGTACTTCTGTAACAGTAAGATACTATCAACTTTAAAAAATCAAAAGAGTGTTAGCGTTTTAGCTAAATGAACACCACAAATTACACAGGCTGTCCAAATCTATTTCAGGGGCACTATGGTTACTCGGTAGTTGAGATGCTAATACAGAATGCAACTTGCAGTTTTTAAAATAAAACTGTCAATTAGCAATTTCAGTAAAGAGTAAAAACTAGCAGATTCTCCTACACTGGAAATTATTCTACCCTGCCTACTAACAAGAACCACAAACTCCGCTCCCCAACCCTTCTCCCTAGTCCACAGCACAAAATAAATGGAAACCAGTCCTTTGTGCTGGGATTTTATATGGAAGAATTGTCAATGCACTTCACTGAATGGTTGTTGCAGGCAGTGAGAAAGCTGTTGCTGTGTCAGATTTTACTAACAATGGGGTAATTTCACTGCAAATAGATGATTGTAAATAATATGTGCCCACAGCACCGTTATTTGCTCTATTCTGTAGCCACAATTGTGTTTTTTGTGAGATTGACTGGACTCCCCAGAATTCCTAGCATCCCTCCCGACTCAGCAGCAGCTTTTTCAATGCCTACAGCAACCATTCAGCAGAAGTGAAGCGCATTGGAAATTCTTCTATGTAAAACCCCAGCACACTGGAAAACTGTCGCTGAGTCAGAAGGTATGCTAAGAATTATGGGGAGTTGTACCAATTTCACAAAAAACACAAGTGTTGCTACGAAATGGCACAATAACTGTGCCGTGGGCACACATTATTTACCAGCATCTATTTTCAGTGAAGTGACCCTACTATTAGTAAAATCTAACTCCGCAACAGCTTTCCCACTGCCTGCAGCAATCAATCAGCAGAAGTGAAGTGCATTGGCCATGTAAAACCCCAGCACACAGGACTGGCTTCCATTCATCAATCTGTAGCAGCTCCAAATCTCTCTGCTTATTTTTTCTGGCAATTTGTAGCTAGCTACAGAGTTGCTGCCATAGTTGGCTACAATGCTTTTCTACGCAGATACAAATCGCTAGCGTGCCATGATCAAAAAACTGAATCACACAGTGACTGAGCTACAAATCGCTGTGAATTTCAGCGATGCGGACCTTTCATTGACTGTAATTCATTTTTTCCTAGCAACAGATAAGCTAGGAAGAGCAATTCTGTCGCTTCTACATATCGCCTCTGTGACATCAGCCTATATCTGTACAGGTTTACCTGCAAGCTGTAGCTTGGTCTATTAATGCCGCAGTGCAAGAGCTAGACCATTACTAAATACTCACCAGAGATAAGCTGCATGTTGCTGTTGCTTAAATATTTACTATCAGACATTGATTCAGCATCAATATTTGGTTCTAATTTGTGGGTTCCCACATAAACAGCTCTAAACTTTTGCTGAATATCAAGGCCAACTGTAAAATACATCAGGGAAAAAAAACATTGAAAAGGAAAAAGAATTCTAACATTCTGGACTTTATAAATAGGGAATTTATCATAGGAAAAAGCACCAAATAAAAGGTAAAGAAGTAAAGACCTGATTACCTGAATGCATGTACTGTACCCTGAGCCTGATTAAACGATGCTGCTATTAACACGTGACTTTAATAAAAAGCATTTCAAATAATAACAGACATACAAACACAAATATAAACTCATTCACAGTATGTGATACACTTATGCTAAAAATATATATATTGTGTTTTTATAAGTGATCCTTTGTCCGTCCGTTTTTTTTACTACGGGCGGACGGCAAGAGGTTAATGTAATATTTTGCAGGAATACACCATTTAGCCACTGAGATTCAAATCATATTACATTTCTCATCCTGTTTATTCCTATAAAATTTAAAATGCCTGACCTGTGAAAACAACTTTAATATTTATCATGGGTAATAACACCAAAGCTGTTAAATCAGTTACCATATTTCTATTACTGGTTGTCTATTGCTTTAACTTTTCTAAATACTTAGAAGGCGGGTTTCCTAAACACGTTGAGAATCTTCACTCAAAAGTTTGTGTGAATCTTCACATCCAATTATCCAAACCTCAGTCTGTATGTGTGAGTTTTTGCTCATTAAACCTGAAATTATATCACATTGCACTGTAAATCTTTGTATTGCTGATTACTACAAGGCATGGACTGCCTGCTCATCTCAGAACATGCACAAAGTTTTACATTGCAGTCAGGTTTGGATACCTGTGTGTTTTACCTACTGCTTGTGCAAGTTGATGACACCAGTGTTCCACCTAGTCTGCCTGAGTTGTGTTTGGATTCAGCTTTCACCATGTCAATAAGAACATCATAGCCCTACCGTATCTTTATAAAAATGCATGTCAGTTACCAGTAATTAGCAATTATCTAATAATAACATTAGCACCTTCTTAGAAACTGAAGTCCTTTACCCTTATCTTTAAAATAACAATAAAGACACCCTTAGAAATGTTCAGTAATGACAACCTACAAACACATACATCTAGATTTGCCGGTTTTTTATTCTTTGCATACCTTGTTTTTCTTTTCCTCCCCATTCTTCTCACAGTGGCCATTTTTACTAAGGGCAGAATAATTAATCTCCCTTCACTTCCTGGTACTCCGGCACATGTGACCATGCTCATCATCTCAGGGGAGGAAAATGCCTTTCACTGAGATCTTGTGAGAATACAGATGAGATTTCCCAGCAATGCTCTGCTAATGGAATCTTCCTAGGAGGCAGTGCTTGGGTATGATTACATCATATGGGCCAAAGAGGACCAGGAAGTAGAAAAACAGCAATTGTAAGTTAAAAAAAAAAAAAAATTAATGTAAGATCATTTCATATCATCATGTATATTTTACAATGCCCGCTGCCTGAAAAACATCAGCCACACTGAACATTGTTACAAGGGGACATGCTTATGGTTGTTCAAATAGTAATTAAGAGATATACATTATTTCCATAGCCACTAAATTCACAGCATATACTATACTGTTATGTGATGTCATAGCATTGTAATAACAAGACACAATATAGTTGCTTTTTATTATTATGCAATAAACGTTATCTTGAAAAAAAATCACTTTTATGTAGTGAGTGCTGCCTTCCGCCTGCCCATCACTTTCAAAAACCTCCTGGATTCCCAGTGTGCTTTGGATCACTTTTCTTACTGCTTGTGATGATGCACTCTCAATTTCTACAGACTACATAGCCCATAATGCATTGCCTCCAGCAAGCAATGATGATGTTACATTGTTCAGGTGCTGAGTTGAGTGGCGGGCTCGGTGATTTGTGACACAAGAAAGTGCATAAAAATATATATTTAATTTTAGTTTTAGATAACCTTTAAACAGACAGCTCCAGGCAAAAACATAACTTTATTTTTTTTTTTTTAAAAGCTGTTACTTTGGATTTCTTTCACATTTGCCATAACATCTCTTTAAAGTGGACAAATACAATCCTAAAATAAAAGAAAAGATATCTGATGCACTCTAGGATTAGCATAATGCTGTAGAATGGATTCAGCATATCGCTTGTTCAGTATTCACAATTTTCCTGCAGTATATCAGTGGATTTTAGCTCCTACAAAGTAGAAATGTCTCTAACAAACATACGGTATGCATCTTACCATACTCAGAGCTGATCAAATTGACACTTAGCTCATCAGAAGTAAAAACCCTTTTTATGTTGATTTTTCGTGTCCAGGTTCCTGATTTCAACAAAGCAGAGTCCCTGGAAATGTGAAAACATGATATATCTAAACCTGGACTGTACTGAAAATTATATAAATACATTTAATCAGAGCATCATCTCTTCCTTCCCTAAACCACCTTTCAAGTCCCAACCCATACTAATAAATACCTAACTGCAAGTATGCTTTTTTTGTTTTGTTCCATAACCAATATGAAAACGTGGATATAAATGCCATTTATGCTTTGGCCTTATTTATATATCTGTTTCAGTAGAAAGTCACTCGCACTCCAAAGCTATGCCAAGTCAATCTCTTTTTTGACTATGGTAGTGTAACATCTCAAAGCGACGTTTTGGAACCCAGTGGTTCCTTCTTCAGGCAAACAGAAGGCCTGAAGAAGGAATCACTGGATTCCGAAATGTCGCTTTGAGATGTTACACTACCACAGTTAATAAAGAGATTGACTTTGCATCGCTTTGGAGTGCGAGTGACTTTCTACTAAAATGTATGTGATCTTTGGAGGCATCTGCTGTCACTACCACACCCACTCTGTTTTGTTGGGCTCTTCCGGTCAGGAGTGCGATGGGATACACTTGGTCTTATTTATATATCTGGACACAATTGGATTTTTTACTAAAGGAATAGAGGCTGTCCTATACAACCCTGCATCAGCCTCCTGCATCTGCCCAGAATTTTTTTTAATATAAACATGAAGAGGCAGAACTGCAGTGGGTCGAGTGAACATGCCTTAAAGTGTGTTTCCACTTTTGCAGCCAAATTGGGATAACACCCATTTTATATTTGTTACACGTTCCCATTAACATATCACCACTTTTAACCATCATTTTTAAACATTGCTGCTTCTATTTTAAGCAATTTTTACTTTCTTAAGAAACCTACCTAGCTTCCTCCCATATGTAATGTTAAGGAGGAGAACAAGGAGTTAATGATTACTATACTTAACCCCATCTGTACTGTGTTGTTCTAAATTCATTATTGGTTGAAAATTTGATTTGTACACCATCTGTCCTAACAAAGGGTTAAAGATCTAGAAGCATTGTATGATAATGAGAGGAAACTCAGTGTTTTCCTAGTCTTTCTATGGGTACATACTCCCTTTCAAACTGTTTAGAATAGCTTGCAGTCTATCCAAATGCCTCCAAAAAAAAAACATAAAAGGTAATAAATATTTAAAAAATAAAAAAGCAAAGCTGTTAAAAAATACACAGAAATTATATTTATTTTTTGCTGGTGATGTTCAAATAAAAAAATAATTACTCGCCTTATTTTCTGCTTGAAGACAAGATTATTATCGGAGTCTCCAATAAGAAGTGTAACATGATGAGAATCTGGTGCTGTTCTCTTTTTTTGTAACCTCTCATAATTTGTTAACAGGACAGTAACAACAATTTCTGCCTCTGATAAGTTGTATTTTGCCAACTGAAAATAAGTAAATGTGAAGAATACAAAATCTTAGTTTAGTACATTTGCCCTGTAGAGTTGTACTTTTTTTTTATATGTATGACTTTCTCCTTTATAATGTCCAAAATGGATGTATGATTTATTGATTGTCACACATTGGTTTTAGGCAGGGGGTGAGCTGTTTCAGGACTGGTTAGCAGGTAGGAAGATTCTTGACAAAAAGCCCAATATTCCAATCTGCATGACCAAAATGGGTAGAGCAGCCCTTGATGTTAAATTTGATTTGTTTTTTGGAGGGTGGGGGTTTTGATATCATTTTTGAAAGAACAAATTACTTCCAGTCCAATTAAAATCACTGAAATGGATTTGCAGGCATGTAGACACTACTAAAAACCTCTATGTGCACAGTATTATCTCTACTTTTCCCGTGCAGTATAAAAAGGTACCTGAATTAGACCCAGTATCCTCAGTAATCTGCACACCCCCACTCTTCCTCTGCAGTACAAATCTGTGTGAGTAGAGGTGTGGCTGTTACTAGACTATGCCAGCACAGATCACTGGAGGGAAGCAGCATTTTCATGTATTTTAAGGCATTTCCAAACAAAGAAATCGGAAAATGAAGGGGTATAAGATATTAAAAGGTAAAGAGGTAAAAAAAAAAAAGCTGTAAAATAGGCTTTTACAGTTGAGTATATTATTGTTTAACATAAAAAAAAATATATTTTAACCTGTTCAATGCCAAGCTTATAGTTTGGAAGATGAAGTACCAATTCTTTTATTTGATTTCCAAATGGAGGATTCCTGTTAACAATCTGCAGAATCAAAAGACATATATAGATAAGTACATATAAAAGGCTGTGGTAATGTTTTAATTTGCTAATTGAAGGTCTATTGCTCAATCATCCAACGGCTTCTTTATTACCCAGGCACTCCAGTGATGCGCTCTCTCTGCATGGGTTCCATGTTCTGCAGCCTCAAGCCGCAGAACTTAATTTCTTCTCCTGCAGCAAAAGAACCTTAGTCATTGCTACATTTGTAGAATAAATCAAATAACCTAGCACCGGGACCCTGCTTAAGCAGAATCATCCCTAGTTTAGTGTGTTTTAGATGCAGCTAGGCTGTAACCAACCTGAGCTTTGTTCACATTTTGGTACTCAGCTGGTTTTCCTAAGCTCAGGCCATTGATTGCTTTTGCCTGCTACTATTGATGAGGCTTCAGTAGTTAAACTGGGAAGGGTGGAGTCATGAATATTTATTCTCCCCAGCCAATCACTTAAGAGATTGCTCAGTGGTGTGAGCTGGGGGAAGGTAATACATATAGTTACATAGTTATTAAAGTTGAATAAATTGTGTGCATGTGTGTGTTTGTTACTAAGATTACCTGTACCCCTGTGTATCTTGTGCGCTGTGAAAAGTATCTAGATCGTTCGTGAATGATTCTATACTCTCAGCTGATACCACTGTCTGTGGAAGAGAGTTCCACAATTTTACAGCTCTCACAGTAAAGAATCCCCTTTGCGACTCTTTAGTCGATTCCTTAGATCATCAGTCAATTCCTTAGATCCAGAATCTGGGCTTCCAATTAGCTCACATCTTGCGCAACAGTAGTGTTTGTAACTCACAGAATAGAAGACATTGCTTTTTTTAGACGGTCCCACTTTTTAGTTTATGTAGTTTGGCCTAAAGCAGCCTAGCAAAGTCTAGTGTCTATACTGATATTAAAAGTGGTCCCCTAGAAAGTTTCTTAAGAACTGTTTTCTACATCAATAAATGCTAATGATAGGAAATTGATTGTGGTCTGTTTACGTTATAATATTTGTGCACATACAATGTTTGCAGAGCCATTAAGAAAATTATAGGATTCTGCGATTCTCAGGACTAAAACCACTTAAGGCATTGAAGGAGCTCGACAAAGTATTTAGGGTGTTTCACTATCTGCATAATAGTAAATCAATAAGTGGGGGAAAATATGCCATTTTATTAGCTTCTAGCTAAGAACTAAAAACAAAGACAATCAATTGGTTAAGCAAGCTCTCATTGTTACAACAAACTATGTTTCCTTGATATAATGCATAAACTGATATTTTAAAACATAACATACAAATTCAAGTCTTACATACCAGCTCCAGCTCTCGGGGGTTTGTATCTTCTATTTTTTGAAAAGATGTCAGTCCTGCATTTACCATAGCATTAGCCAGGGTGACACCTAGGTAACCATGAGACTGTATTAGTCACATAACAATACATTTTTATAAATATATCCAAGGTGAATTAATGAAACATCTTTTTGTTTTTTAACACTTTTTTTAAATCAGATTCTATTTTTGTTGTGGCAGCAGGCAGAGAAAAACGCCTGGGTCTAGCCAGGATGGCGGAGACGTATGTCCCAGATTCAGGCATAATACTAAAGGTTATCCTCTAGGGCAGTGGTTCTCAACTCGTGGGTCGCGACCCAAAAGTGGGTCGCGACACCCTCTGCAGTGGGTCGCGGCGTCATGTCTGCATAGACCGGCCCATCTGCATTAGAGAGAACTAGAGGGGGAATTTGTGGTTCAGCCTGTGGAACCTCATAATGTCAAACTGTCCCCTCTCTCCCGGCCTCCCCCGGGCTCTCCGATAAAGTGGTATGGCCCGGGGAGAGAGGGGACTATTTCCTCACTTTCGGGCCGGCGCATTAATATCAGGAGCCGCGGCGCCCGACAATTAAGTTATAGTTTCGGTTTGCACTGGAGAGTACAGCAGATATCAATCCGCCGCTGTATCTACTGTACTCTCCAGTCCAGATAGTTCAGTCGGCTGGAATCAGAGAAAGGTAGGCAGGCAGATAGGGAGATGTGCACTGTGGCAGGACAGGGGACACTGATGGATATTATGCATTCCAAGCCCACATAATATTCATCATGTATATTCATCACTGTCCCCTGTCATAATGTATGTTAATTAAATACACAATTAATGTTATTACACAGACTGGGCTCAGAATACATAATGTCCATCAGTGTCCCCTGTCATATTGTCCTCTGTCAGTGCAGAAGCTGGGGAGGGTATGGGGGGGGGGCATTAGCAGGGGGCTCCGCTGCAATTTTTTTACCTGCAGCAGAGCCTATGCTAATGCACCCCTCCCCCAGCTTCTGCACTGACAGGGAACTTTATGACAGGGGACACCGATGGTCATTATGTATTCCAAGCCCACATAATATCCAATAGTGTCCCCTGTCGTAATGTCTCCTGTCAATGCAGAAGCTTCGGGGGGCATTAGCAGGGGCTTAGTAGAGAACCTGCCGTGGTGCCCCTGCTAATGCCCCCCCTTCCCCATACAGACACCCTCACCACCCCCTCCAGGTTCTGCACTGACAGGGGACATTAGGACAGGGTACATTGATGGACATTATGTATTCCAAGCCCACATAATGTCCATCAGTATCAGTGGCGTAACCAGAGTTATGGGCGCCCGGGGCAGACATTCCCCCCCCCCCCCCCATTATATAAACATCCATTGGAACTGTACCCCGCAACCGCCACCCCCACACGTTTTTATTTTAATTTTTTTAAATATTTAATTTTTATTCTTTATAAACTTTTTAATTTTTTTTAATTCATTTACTTTCAGCAAAATATATATTGCTGAATACTGCACAAGTTGTTTTGTGTAATAAATTAAAATGTTTCATAAATTAAATCATTTTTGGGTCACGCCTTAATGACCAAGAAAACATGTGGGTCCCGAGGTTACACAGGTTGAGAACCACTGCTCTAGGGGGAAGTGTTGAGTCAACTGGAGGCTTGGCGGTAACAAGCCCAGCTGAAGCAAGCTGGCTTGTTAGGGCCTCTATAAGAACTCCCTGACTCCTCAGGCCTGGTTCACACCTGTACGTTTTGTAGCGCGTTCAACGCTCTACAAAACGCTCAAACATGAAAATCCCATTGTTTTCTATGGGTATGGTTCACACCTTGCCGTATTTCAGCCCGTCTGAACGCGCTACAATACGGCCTACGCCTGAAAAGGTACATGAGCTTCTTTGCGGCGTTTTTGTCGCGTTTCCATTGGGATACAGCCAAGTAGCCCTCGGAAACGCGCATTTGTCGCACGTTTTTTTTACCGCGAATCGCGGTAAAAATGCACGTTACGAAACGCGCGACAAACGCGCATATTCGATACGCCTAGGTGTGAACAGAGCCTAAGGGAGTAGCTCCACCCTGGAACCAGTCTCTGTGTATGGGTGGACTGGGGATCAGATCACCTGTGTGGTGAAAGATGAGCCTGTGGCAATTTGATAAGTTCCAGCCTGTGTGGCAAGGTGACAAAAACCAGCCTGAGTGGCAAATTGATGAGCTACAGCCTGTGTGGCTAATGTTTAAGATACAGCCTGTGTGGCAAGAGTTTTGTTAATCAAGTGCATGAGTAAATAAATTGCACATGTGCATTTCACCAAAAGTCATTGCCTGCTGTGGCTGTTTTCTGTGGGAAGTACTCATCCAGGGGGTCACACACATCCAATGCCGAGCTAATACCCTCACACAGTGTAAAAAAAGAGAAACGATAACACACCTATCCCAACATTCAACATGAAGGGAATCTGAATCCAAACCAAGCACAACAACATAGATTTCTATTTGCAGATATGTACTGTACATATATTGTATATTCTTAAGTAACTTCCTACATCTTGGTGTTGCAATACAAAACATGCTCAAGGAATTATTGTGATAAATCTACTATAAAGGGAAAAAAAAATGCAATCTCTAACTATTTTCTGCAAATGGTCCAGTAATCAAATCACTGTTTTTTTACATCTGCTGGTTGGCATCTAACCATTCCTGTGAAAGAAAAAGTTCTCAGTTCTACCTACCAATTTTTTCCAGCTGTTTGGACACATGTGAAGAATTTTCCCATAATTTACATCTGAAGCACTTAGCCAGAATTAAAGCATTCAGAAATGCCATGAATTTCTTTTCTTGCAATGCGAGAAACTCATGCAGATCTACAATTGTAATAAAAATTGGTTAAAGAAGCATTCTGATAACTGAATATTTGCAATGCATAAAGAAAATACATACATTTAGTCACTCGTATGCCATGTCGGAAAATCTTTGCCATGTCCTGTGTTAGTGAAAATTCTTGAACAGGAATACATCCAAGTTGTGCCTGTAGAAGACTGTTAAAGTTAAAATGACATGAGTTAGTATATAGAGCTGCTGCCATCTCTGGACCTGGCATCATGCATTGAACATATACTGTATGTTCAATCTCTCAGCTCTCAATCTAAAGAGCTGGCATGTGACACCTGCAGTGTCACACACCAGCTCTAAAGTATTGCGAAGAGTATCATTTACCATTCTAATACTTCTCCTTTAACCTGAATGTGCACACACACATACACATATACAGTACATACACAAACACACACACGTTGCATATTTACCAGTTCACTTTCATTTCCCTGGATTTTATTTTCCCCTCCAGTGGAAACCTTTGTTTGGAAGTAAAAAAGTAAAAAGATTAAAGGGCCATTTATGCATACATGAAATACACAACTATATTTATTAGGGAATATTGATGACAAGAGCTTATACTTCATATGTTTATTTAAAATGATACTTAAAGGGTTATTAAACCCTCTGGTGTTTTTGCATATATCTACCACTAGCAAGCAGTAGATATATGCAAAAAGTGTAAAAAAACCGAAACAAAAACAAACGCTTTAAACTTACCTGTGTCTTCGCTGCGCGCTCCCGTCCGAAAATGGTTGGTTTTCGGGCGTCACAGTGGGGGGCGGAGCCGGCAGGAATTCAAAAGTGAAAACATGACATTTACACAGAATGCAATGCAATCTGCTATAATTACATTTATGTATCAGAATATTTCACTTCAATTTTTTCCCTAGAGCTTTGTCCAGTGCCCTGTCTGCACTTTTACTGTTCTTTCTGCCTGGAAACTCGAGAACGTCCACAGCATCCACAAAGCGTCCCTTTAGGTCAAAAGCGGTTTTAGACCAGGTAGAAAACAGCGATAGTAAATCAGAATCACTTGCAGAATTAAGCGATAGCTATTCGTGGGGAATTCGTCATCACACACTGAAAGTGACGACAGCGACGATTCTGCGACTGAGCTCAGTGATGTGCGAACTTGGTACTCTATTGACTGATCAGGCAGCGCCCACAGAATTCCCATTTATTGGACCATTTTTTTTATTATTAT